ATTAGAGGTGAGTATTCCAAGGTCCTTTACAGAGCTTGGGTCATCAAAATATTGCCTCACGCTAGCTCATATGCAACTGTTTTTGGAACACAGCAGCAAAACTTTAACGAATCCATTCTGTTCTTAAATTTCCACTAAGAACCATTGTAAAAATATGTTTTAAGGAAAAAACATACTGTTAAAATTCCCCGGCTCCCCGAAATTTACCATTTCGGTATCTGACCTTCAGTCATAAGTGGCAGATACAACATTGCACTTCGTAAATAGTTTTCATAAAAAATAATCTTTAAAACAACACAGATGGATGTTTCTACTTACGGCAAACGATAGTGAATTGCTGGAATTTTGTATTTGAACCACCAGTTCTGATTCTTGTCCGATAACTGTCAAAAGCAGATTGTGTTAGCATGAAATGCAATATCCAATGTTATCTCTTCCATGCAATACTGAAAAATGTTTTCAATTGCATGAAAGTGTAGCAATCTTTGAGAAAAAGTCAAAAAAAACCTCATGACTATTGATTTATTAGATGTTTTTCTCAACTTCTTTTTATTTTTAGGGAACTCTAATGTCCAATGTAAAAACATTTCTACAACCATAATAATAAAGAAATACTAAGTTTACTGCAACACAGTATCTGCAATCAACATCTTTAATACTGCTAGTGCTGTAATACAATGTATTACAATATAAGAAATTAGAAGGAAGACAATAAAACCCCAGCAAGATTTAGTGCAGGCACATCATGAGTAAGGGAAAAATTAAATCCAATCTTTTTAAGTATCTTATTAAGACTGGCTTTATGGTAAATGTGATTCATGTTGACTTCACCTATAATTTGATCCAACTAAGAAGCCATCTATGATTTCCCAAGCTCTGTAATCTTACTTGGATGAGGTCATATTTAAGTCCTTTGCAGTGCAAGACCTATTTTGCCACCCATAATAACCATCTATGAGATAAGTTGGGCTGAAAGAATGTACTAGCCTAAAGTCAGTTCTTTGTGGCTAATGTGGCACTAGAACTTGGATCTCCCAGTTAGCTCAGTGTGAATGAAGGGCATTCTCTTAACTACAGGTAGTCTTCGACTTATGACCATAATCGAGCACAAAATTTCTGCTGCTAAGTGAGACAGTTGTTCAGTGAATTTTTGCACCATTTTACAATCTTTCTTGCCACAGTTGTTAAGTGAATCACTGCAGTTGTTAAGTTAGTTACACGGTTAAGTGATTACGGATTCCCAATGGACTTTCCTTGTCAGAAGGTCCCAAAAAGTTTGTAGGGACACTGCAATGTCATAAATATGAGGCGGTTGCCAAGCATCTCAATTTAGATCATGTGACCACATGGATGCAGCAACAGTAGTGTGAAAAACAATCGTAAGTCACTTTTTTCAGTGCTGTTATTAACTTTGAACGGTCACTAAAAGAATTACTGTAAGTCAAGGACTACCTGTATCCAGAAAAAAAAAAACTCAAGAGAAAGAAGTAGTCATAATTTGCTTCAATTATGGCAACTGGCTTCATTCTCTGATTTCTTCCAAATGAACTAAGCCAAATATCTTAATAAATCAACCCAAGATTAACTATTTATTGTTGCATTTATTCATGGATAGAGAGCAAGTAGAGGTGCACATGGTAATGCCATACCACAACGTGCAAGTACGAGCAACCCACAGATTTCACACAATCTCCAGGGTCACCCAGATCTCATTGCTGAATTTTAGCAACAAATTACTGAACAACAAGAAGCAGCATGATTTCCTGCTCATTTTTATGGAAAAATAAAGTAATTTGTTTCTGATAGGTTTAATGCCTGTAACTTTTGCATTACATTTCCTAATGACTTCATGATATCCTCCATCAAAATCCACAAAGAAAAGGGATGTTGCCAGTCATTTCATTCAATAGAAACCACCCAAATTATAAATTAATGCATTACTTTTAAAATTGTGTTTAGAATGCCATTCAGAGCAGTGAAGGAGGTCACATAAGCCAAATCACTTCCATTCTCATAACAATACAAGGAAGCTTCTTGATAGCTCAGATGCTTATTGGCCACGAACCAGAATTCTGACCCATCAATATTCAGTGTTGGCCCATGAATTCCTTCTTCATCTACAAGAGAGAAAGAAAATCACATTCGAAGCTTACATTCGGTACAACCTAACATGAACCAGCAAATTCATGCAATCTGAATCATCACATAACATGGAGGCTATGCGAATAAAAATTAAAAAATGCTCGGCATTTTTGATTTAGAACAGAGTACCCCAAACCTTTCAGGGATGGCAGCCCGGAGTGAGGGAGGGGATGATTTTGTGGGAGGGGCAAGTGCATGTGTGCCACAAGCGCCCATGACAAGGCTTGCACGAGTGGCGCCACAAGTGCCCACGAAGAAGCTCACGCAGAAGCGTGCGCTCCAGCAGGCCCCTCATGTGGCCAATGGCAATTAGCTTGCGGCCCAATAGTGGGCCACGGACCACAGGTTGGGGATGCCTGACAAATGACTAAATTTGACTTCAATTCCTCCAAGTCTGATTTCAAGCAAAGACATTACAACTTACTCCATCACACAATAATTTGCTAAAGTTGACAAGTTTATTAACATGCTTTGAGAATTAAACAGGCCAATTTTCTTACTAATTACATATTTTGATCAACTCTGTAGTGCAAGAAAGACTGGGTTACACCTAAAACTGGTTCATGAATGGTCATGTTGGGAAGGTAATTATCATTGTCTGTAACTTCTGCATTTCACTTCCTTATGATTTAGTATTTATAATCAACCAGATATAAACTGAATGAATATAAACATATTATTCTAGTGATTATGGGTATTTGTGTGGAATAGGAGCAAGTGACATATATCTCATGCCATCCACGTACAAATAATATGATGTACGTGCACCAGGCATCATGACATGAGCGCACCATTTATGCAATGACATCATGACACTTTGACGTTACAGAATAAGAGTTGGAAGGATCCTTCCTAGTTATTCCTGAAGCTTCGCCAAGTTCCTTCTGGATAAAGGTAATACTTTGTTATATAAATCTTATTTCAAGTTTCAATCACACACACATGCATGCATACACACAAAGAATATATGGAATGCTACTGTATGTTTAGTGTTTTACAAAATACATGATTTATGCAATGTGTAAAAACTCCCATGCACATTCCAGCTATCTGAAATAGCAATACCAGTAAGACTTATATACTGCTTCACAGTACTTTACAGCCCTCTAGGCAGTTTACAGTCAACATATTGCCCCCAACAATCTGGGTCCTCATTTTACCCACCTCGGAAGGACGGAAGGCTGAATCAATGTGGTGAGACTCCAACTGCCGTACTGCAGGCGGCCAGCAGTCGTAGCTTGCAGTACTGCATTCTAACCACTGTGCTACCACGGATCTTGAATACTTGAACTGGAATTAAGCTAACAATCCCATCTCTTTTAAAACTGCTATGAGGCTGTGGAAACAAAGGTCCCTGAACTGCAATAAAGTGTATGAAAAGTAAGAAATAATCTTACCTGGTTTGTACCATTCAGGTCTCTTTGGAGTACTACCTGTTGATAAAGGAAAAGCCTATCACTGGATGTACTAATACAGGGATGTCAAACTCGCATCATCACAGTGGTGTCACATGACATATCACGACTTTTTCCCCTTGCTAAACTGGATGTGGGAATGACCAGTGCGTGATGCATTTGGGCCACGAGTTTAACAGCCCTGTACTAATATATCCTTGGTTAGAAAAAGGCTACTTGTCACTTTTTTATTTACAATTGGAAATGTATGACCTTCTAATAAAACAGGAATGTCCAAACTTGAATTCAACAATAATTTAACTTTCCATACATATAAAGTCTCTTGAGTCACTTTAAAAAACTGAATCTAATTGAGGCACGTATCCATGTTCTAAGGCAGTTTCCTTTGCTATTAATATTACACTTTCGGATTCAAGTAGTTCCCCCCAAAAATCCAACATTTAACTGATCAAAAATCCATAGAGTTCTTGTAAAGAGTTGTATAAAGAGGTGATATCATATTCCAAGAGAGTCCTGCAAATAGCAGTACAAATGGAATAAAATAGATATGATTACAATTACTTCATACAATGGAATTAATTTTATATCCAACAATAGAAAGAAAGCAAAGAAATTACCCCGCTTTAATTATCAGTGGCCATATTTCTGTAATAAAATCTTGTTCCAAAACATAAAAAGAATTTATGATTTGAAAACACTGTCTCCCAGTATTTAAGCACCTGAGTTAGGCTATACCAATTTTATTTCCCAATCTTTTGAGCCTTGAGCCCTTGAAATATTTTTCAACCCTCGAGGAACCCCTGCACATTCAACCTCAACTATAGGCCAGAATTTACTAAATTATTATATTAATTTCGTGTGTTGGTACTATGTGTTTTTAACAGTGTTCATAAGCTAAAAATAAAGAATGACTTTTTTTTCCTTTCCCCCTGCTTCCTTCCCTCCATCCTGTCTTTGTGGGTGGTTGCAACCTGGACCAGCCCAGTCCCAGATCTTCCGTATCCGCCTGGAGATAGCTCCCCCCACCCCAGGCTGCTACACACCTGGAGAAAAACAGGCTGGCGAGCTGGCAAGGAGACCCCATACAGGAAATCTCACTTTTGTAGGCTCATTCACCAACTGCTGTTCCTCCCTCCTTGCTTGCTCTTCACCTACTAACTTGTGTGTGTGTGTAATTCCTGCCCCAGCCAGGAGTTCATGCAGGCTCCAGGGGGCCAATCAGGGGTTGGAGGTGTTTTGTTCAGTCTCTCCTTTTTTAAAAAAAAAACAAAAACAAAAAAACAAATCACGATCCCTCAGGGAACCCACTATAACCTCTTGCAGAAAGCTAGGATTCTGCAGAACTCCAACTGAAAAACCCTGGGCTACCCACGAAGCTAAAACATAATCTTTGAATACCTAGTTTGAGAGGCAGCCTTGTTTTGCTATCAGACAGTGCTTTTTCCCCCCTTTAACCTCATTGTTGGCTCTTTAGTTAAATTGGATGGAAAGTCAAAAAGTAGTTTTACATTTAGAAAGTATACAGCGGCCCCGTGGTTCTCAGATCAAGAACTGGCAATTAAGCCTATCTTCAATAATTGCCCTGCTTCAAAGCCACCTTGCGAGTCTGTTAATTTGTAGGGGAAAAAAGCCACGGATCTGGAACTACTACAAGAATGAGAGGCATCTGTACTTTTCCATCAATGTTTGTTTGGTTTTGTTGTTGCTGGCACTAAAGATTCTTATTCAGCCAAATCGGGTCTGCCAAGCCTTGCCTAGGAAATAAGGTTACTCATGAAAATCATGAAGTCTGGGGGACACTGCCAAATCCTAGTTGGGGGATACTAATACTGGTTAACAGTAGGGCAGAAAAAGAAAGAAAACACTTTTATGTAACACACACGTTCTTGAAATAATGTATGCCAAAGATGGGATTTCAACATTTGATTCAAACTTTTGTCAGATGGAAACAAACTCAAAGTTTGGAGGAAAAAACTGAGAACGTTTTCAGAACTCAGATTTTTTTTAGAGTTACAGGAAATTGGCCAATCATAATGCTGGCATACTGAAAAAAATGAAGGAAAAGATAATCCTATATTTTAATGCTTTTATCCTACAGACTTTTATCTGGAATGAGCCATGCTGAATACAGAAGATCTCCTTTCTAAAAAAACAAAACAAAAAAACCACAATTTTACCTTTAGGGATCTGGCATACCCATTCAAGTTGTACATCACAATGGAAAGGTTTTAAGTAGAAATCCTCTTCTCTATCTTCAAATAGGTACATATGATACAGCGGCCGACGTCTTCGTCCGAGGGTCTGTATAATTACAAAAAAAAGCAATGATAATATGCATTTCTTTTTGTAGTAACTCTGAAGTAAGTAAGTGTCCATAACTAAATTCTGTTAAAAAGATTTCCTTCCCTATTAGCTCATTTAATCATTAGAAATAAATCTCTGTGTTCAGTAGAATTTTCTTTTAAATGTACAAGGGATTCTAGCTACAGGCTAAAAAAATAGCAATACCAATTAAACTTATATGCAGCTTCACAGTGCTTTATAGCAGTTTACAGAGTCAGCATATTGCCCCCAATAATCTGGGTCTTTATTTACTGACCTCGGAAGGATGGAAGGCTGAGCCAACTTTGAACTGGTAGTGGGCAGAGTTAACCTGCAATACTGCATTCTAACTACTGCACCACCATCACAACAAATACTGTTGTTACAGAAATATTCTGTTTAATACTGGTAATTGCTTGATGAGGAAAATCACATTTTGAAAGATATTATTTTCAGCTGGTAATCAACAAAAAGGAAATATTCCAGGCATATATCTGGATTTCCAATATGTAAAAGCAGGATACAGATGAATGGTAAATGCAGAAGTAGAAAAGAATCAAGTAAGATAAGGGCTAAATGTTCTTTCCCTTAGCTGAGAATAGTCCCATTAAATCCAGTGGGACTTACTTTTAACTAAATTAAACTACTGCCAATGCAATACTTACTCAGAACTGAAGTATGGAATTGCCATGCTATGCTTGTTATGTTTATAAGCAAATATATTTGAAATATTTGTCAAAAACTACACATGTCTACTTTAAAATAGTATTTCTTTTTCCAACTAATGAAAACAATCTATTGAAAGGATCACTGCTACTATACTTTTCAAGACAAATTATATTATGCACATTATTGCATTCCAATGCAATATTTACAAACATAAAAGGCTGTTTTATTCTGAAGTTAGGACAGCAAACCTAACTAATCAGACAGATAGGAAGATGAATAAGATTCACATGCCAGGGCATTTGCAAGAAGGCTGCAAGCATTCAGGAGATTTTAGTTATGTCTATGTTCCTGCCAGAAATAAGATTATGGTGTTCTGAGGATGAGACAGTAAAGCCACAAAGGCAACCTTGGATTCATTTTGTTTAAAAATTCCAGAACTGTTTCTGGCTCCATTTGGAATGGATGTATTAATTTCCTCCATTCAAAATCAAGGTGACTGTGTGAGAGAAAACAAGGAGGCCAAAATCACCACAGCAATGCAAGCTTGCCTCCTACATCTCTCCCCTGGGCTGTTCAAACAGGCAGGCTGTGGAAGCAGTACAGTATTCCCTCACACAGACACATTTTTTTTAGGACCGTACATTAAGACCTGATTTCCTGCTAAATGTGATGAAGCAATTTCATAGTAAAAAGAAAACGTAATAGAGTACAAGCTAAAAAAATCCCTTAGGGCAGTCTAACTGGCTAAATTGCAGGACTTATTGGCAAGCATGAGGTCAGCTGAGTTATTTTACAAAAAATAGCACAGATTCTTCCAGTATTTCCTTCTCTTTAGTGATCAAAAACGTCAAAATGTACCTTGACAGCTGCGCAATCTCGAAGATCATAGTCATCTTCTCTAAATTCCAGAGGCATAACAACAGAAGAGACCTATGGAGGAACAATGGTTTTAAAGCTGTATGCTATTAATTTTAATTAGTATGTTTTAGTAACAATAGCCGCAATATCCCAATACTGCAGGGACAGGAATATTGAGAAAAATAAAAAGAGTACTTTCAATATTCATTAATAGATATATGTTTTTAGTAAATTGAACCAGATTATCCTCTGAACTTTCATGACAAAGCCTTTGTTAAAGGTCACATTATGAGTATGTAAAAGTCACATCATAATCCAGAACTGTATATTCATTATATGAAAGCCTGAATCCTATATAGGTATTTCTCCTTCCTTCCTTCCCTTCCCTTCCTTTCCCCCCCTCCCTAGGAAATGACCACAGAAGTGTCCCTAAATGAGGACTTCCATGTGTGTAATTGTGTCTAAATAAAACAAATCCTCCACAAAGTAATTTTCATATAGAATAGTCTAATGACATAGGCTTTGGTTTACTGAACATTTTCATAACCAATTTAAGCTACTGTACATTATTTGAAGTTATTATTTAAAGCCTGTTTTACCTTTCCTGTGCAAAATGTTCTTTAAAAGCTTTTCAACTTCAGAATTTCACCAATATTCTTCCAGCTACAATTGGATCATTTAGTATTCTAGGTATGGTCAGCTTAACTTACCGGCTTATTGTCACTCCATTGCCATGAATCCAGAAGATCAGGATTCCTCTTATTTAGCCCAATCCAGACCCATCTGTCATCACTGTAAATAAAAAAGTAAACATGCAAAGGAATGTTCAACTTAATTGTTTTATTACTTGTGAGTATTTGGTGACCATTTTCATCTTTTAAGACAATTGCTCTGTGAGATGCTAAAATCTGAAAGCATGTGGATAATTATTTTGCCAATCTGCTGGTTCAAGCACCGCATATACTTTTCTTTATAAATTTTCCCCTGAGAATCTGCACATATAAAGCCTATATAAACACATAACTGATTATAAGTTAAAAAACAAAGAAAGAAGAAATGGGGGCTTGGCTTCCATGGTCTGGAATTTGGACACAGAAATCACCAAGGAAAAAAAAAGTCAAAGATAGAGGCTGAGTGGTATTATGTAGTGGAAGGCAAAGCACTTAGGGGGATATAAATGCCAGTCAATAAATAAATTCTGTACTATATATACTTGCAAATAAATCCATCTGTAGATAAACCAACCCTGGATTTTTTGAGCAAAATACCATTAAAAATGTGCTACCTGCTGATAGACAACCTGTATTTTTTCATATATTTTTAAACATTTTGTGGGTCTATTTATTCACCGATGGGCTTATCCAGGAGAATATATGGGAATTAGTACTTTAAAAATGTATTATGTATATACTCGCGGATAAGCCCATCTGCAGAAAAGCCAAGCCTGGTTTTTGTCATGTATTTTGACACCTACAATTTTTGGCTTACCCGAAGTATATACAGTAAATAAAAAATACAGTAACTCAGCAGGTCCTTTGGCAGTCACAAATCTTTTGTTTAGCAAATTGGCTAATCATCTGCCCTTGAGTTGGTCTTTATAATAGAGACGAATGTCCTCTAACTTGTCTGACCTTGGTGAACAACCTGCAACTCTTCCAGGGACATTCCAGAAATATCTCTAGTTTTATCCATCAATGTTGTTTGCTGTCTTCCCTCTATGCCCCAAAGTCTATTAGTTTCTGCCTGATCATCACTGTCTCTAACAGTGTTTATTTCTTCTAGAAACAATCTCAAATACAGACTCTCCTTAAGCTGGTCTTCGACTACATGAAATATTTCATGATATTTCATGACACATACTCCTCAGGGTAATCAGCATATAAAAGAGATGATATATAAATATTGGAAAGATTCAACTCTGGAGAGTTCCTTTAATTGATCCTTGAAACAATTTTCTCCAGTTTATAACAGAAATCACATTGTAGTGTATTAAATTGTTGGGGGAAATTAAAACAGAGGATCTTCTCATTCACTGAGAGGAATTGCACAGAAACCATTTGCCTCTCTTACCTCAGCCTCAAGATGCCCCTAAGAGACTGGTTAAGACTGTTTGACTGTTCAAGTATTTTAAAAGCTATACTGCTACTTTATTACATCTGCTGCCATAAAATACATGAAGATACAGGTGAAACTCAAAAAATTAGGATATCGTGCAAAAGTCCATTTATTTCAGTAATGCAACGTAAAAGATGAAACCAATATATGAGATAGACTCATTACATGCAAAGCAAGATAGTTCAAGCCATGATTTGTCATAATTGTGATGATTATGGCTTACAGCTCATGAAAACCCCAAATCCACAATCTCAGAAAATTAGAATATTGTGAAAAGGTTCAATATTATAGCTCAAAGTGTCCCACTCTAATCAGCTAATGAAGGCGTAACACCTGCAAAGGGTTCCTGAGCCTTTAAATGGTCTCTCTGTCTGGTTCAGTAGGAATCACAATCATGGGAAAGACTGCTGACCTGACAGTTGTGCACAAAACCATCATTGACACCTTCCGTAAGAAGGGAAAGCCTCAAAAAGTAATTGCAAAAGAAGTTGGATATTCCCAAAGTGCTGTATCAAAGCACATTAATAGAAAGTTATATGGAAGGGGAAAGTGTGGAAGAAAAAGGTGCACAAGCAGCAGGGATGACCGCAGCCTGGAGAGGATTGTCAGGAAAAGGCCATTCAAAAGTTTCGGGGACTTTCACAAGGAGTGGACTGAGGCTGGAATCAGTGCATCAAGAGCCACCACACATAGACGGATCCTGGACATGGGCTTCAAATGTCGTATTCCTCTTGTCAAGCCGCTCCTGAATGACAAACGTCAGAAGCGTCTTACCTGGGCTAAAGAAAAACAGAACCGGTCTGTTGCTCAGTGGTCCAAAGTCCTCTTTTCTGATGGGAGCAACTTTTGCATCTCATTTGGACACCAAGGATCCAGAGTCTGGAGGAAGAATGGACAGGCACACACTGCAAGATGCTTAAGTCCAGTGTGAAGTTTCCACAGTCTGTATTGATTTGGGGAGCCATGTCATCTGCTGGTGTTGGTCCACTGTGCTTCATTAAGTCTAGGGTCAATGAAGCCATCTACCAGGAGATTTTGGAGCACTTCATGCTTCCTCCTGCAGACGAGCTTTATGGGGATACTGACTTCATTTTCCAGCAGGACTTGGCACCTGCCCACACTGCCAAAAGCGCCAAAACCTGGTTCAATGACCATGGGATTACTGTGCTTGATTGGCCAGCAAGCTCGCCTGACCTGAACCCCATAGAGAATCTATGGGGCATTGCCAAGAGAAAGATGAGAGACATGAGACCGAACAATGCAGAAGAGCTGAAGGCCGCTATTGAAGCATCCTGGTCTTCCATAACACCTCAGCAGTGCCACAGGCTGATAGCTTCCATGCTACGCTGCATTGAGGCAGTAATGGCTGCAAAAGGGGCCCAAACCAAGTACTGAGTACATATGCATGCTTATACTTTTCAGAGGTCCGATACTGTTCTATGTACAATCCTTGTTTTATTGATTGCATGTAATATTCTAATTTTCTGAGATTGTGGATTTGGGGTTTTCATGAGCTGTAAACCATAATCATCACAATTATGACAAATCACGGCTTGAACTATGTTGCTTTGCATGTAATGAGTCTATCTCATATATTAGTTTCACCTTTTAAGTTGCATATGGACTTTTGCACGATATTCTAATTTTTTGAGTTTCACCTGTTTATTTAGACATCAGTTGAATTCACTAAAATGCTAGACTTTTGAGCACATAACCTGATGATCTCCCTCAGTATTGTATGGAGTTCCTTAATTTCTTCTGAGTTGCTGAAACTAGGAAGATGTCCTCCAAGAGCTTCACAGAATCTCTCAGCTTCTTCCCAAGTTCTGGTTCTCAGCACTCTTTCCTTATGAAAAAACTTTGTAAAAAAATAGGAAAAAAAGCCATGTTATCTCTGTACAATATTACTATTTCATTTTTTTTCTAGACATATATGCCTATTACTTTTAGAGATTAATGAACTTTCCAATCTAGTTATTACATTTCTGTTTTGCTTCACTTCAAATTTATCATTTCATTTCTTTGGTTGGTTATCAAGTCCCAAGACTTCCATTCCATTCATTTGAAGTTCTATATGAAGGAAATGATTTTTCATATATTTATTTTTTTCCAGGCAGCCTCTCTGATCTCTGAAGAATCTGACATAAGGGATGGGAGAGAGAGCTTTAGAAAAAATGGGAAGTCCACAGAATTCCTCCAAATTATGCTAACAGAACCACTCAGAGCCTCTCAAAATAATTCAAGATTGAAGTTGCCAAAGGAATTCAACAAGAATCTGTATTAGGGCAAATTCACAATGTCTGACATAATAGATTTTGTTGCAGTAGAAAGGGTAGCACTGAATGAAGCCCACCAGCACCTATTTTCCTTCGCTCAAAGATTCATAAACACAACATTGATTTGCTTGCAGAAATATCTCTAAAAAGCAAAGTATGTGTTCAAAAGTTGCATTCGGGGAAGCATTATTTTTTGAAAAGCTTATTTTCGTGACTTAGAAAATTTAAAAATACTTTTAAAATCTTGCTGTGGGAAAATATGTAGCAAATAATAGTAATTTGTTTCAGTTTTTGTTTTTTAGAAAAGCATTTCTTGTGGAGTTAATATTAAAGCTTAGATAGTTTAGGTCAGGCGCATCAAACCCAAGGCCAGGGGTATGGATCCGGCCTGTGGGGTGCTTAGATCTGGCACGCAGGGATGCCCTGGAAATAGCAAAGGGCCGGCCTGCGGTGCCTCTGCCAGCAGACCTTCTGAGCTCCGTTTTTTCTGGCAGAGGCTTGCAGGAGGCCGCCCCAGCTGAAAACAGAGCCCGGGAGCCTGTTTTTGCTGGCAGAGTGCTTCGGCCACCTGAAGTGCTGCCACAAGTGATGTCATGCTGGCCACGCCCACCCTGGCCACACCCACCCCAACTCCCTGATGTCAAACACAACGCTCAATGAAATCAAATTTGACACCCCTGGTTTAGGAGATCACAAAATTGATCCCATATCCAACATTTCTGCCCAACCAGTGAACATTATTCCATCTGAGACAGAGAGAGCATGAGAGGAGGGAATATATATATAATTTTGGTTAATATATGATGGGAGCTATGGTAGTCGAAGAGAGTACAAGAGTATGTTTTCTTAAGATCCAAGAGAATATAATTCAACAGAAAGGATATAATAATTTAGTAGACTTGATATAATACCTTGTAACAAGAAAGACCTGAACCCCTTGACCACCCTTGTGGGCAAGGGTCAGTGATTTTCGGCATTATCTCTGTTTCTCTCTTTGGTCCAATGTATTTCTTGCAAATAGAATAAGCTTTAAATGTTTGGCAATCCTTGACTTCCCACTTTCCAAGATATCTTCCATTTGACATTGCCACACATCCTCCACGTAATCCTAAAAAGTTGATGTTTCAATTATTTATGTGATATTTTAAGAAAACAGTCGCCCAAGGCTGTATTATGAAACAAGTATTAGCACTTCACTAAGTTCAATATTTTACCTGGTTGAAAGAAACCCCAATTTGTGTATGTTAGTCGTTCATTATTTCTATCCACACTTCCCCATCTATACTCTCCTGATGAGCTGATATCTTGCAAGCCAGTCCAGAAATATTTTTCTTCAAGTTTATTATGCATTGTGATTAAATTATTTATAAATTCTTGTTCAAATCTGTAAAGGTCAGAGATTCAATACAAAGAGCAATTATCATCAGATGTACAAAATGTATTTAGCTAGGATTAAAGAGAACATTTCTACAAGATATAGCACAATATTTAAAATTTAAGAAAGTTTACATTCAAAGGGTAACAGTGTACAATACCTGTTTGCTATAGTAAGATTGCACACACTTCCAAAAAAGACTTCATTCTTGTCAATCCTATAGCAATAATCTCCATGTTTCTTCCATTCCTAATTTAAAGGATGATAATCATTTATTCAAAAGTAAAGGCAACATGTGACATAAAGTTATCACATTAATTGTAAGATAGGAATGGCGAGTTAATGGAAGCAGTCCATCTGCTTCTGCCCTCTTATTTTTCACAAACAAGCCCGCGTCAAGGCTTGTGCAAGTTGGGCGCGAGCGCTTTTGATGACATTTGCGTGAGTGGATCTACAAGTGCCCATGACAAGGCTTTTGCAAGTGGGACTATGAGTGCCCACAACAAGGTTCACGTGAGGGGGGCCATAAGCACCCATGACAACACTCTTTGCCTGCACAGAGGCCACGCACCGGCCGGCCCTTCATGTGGCCCAGTGACGATTAGCCCACAGCCTAGTAGGGGGGCATGAATCACAGGTTGGGAATCCCTACTGTAAAGTGGTATATAAGTCTAAGTGTTATTCTTTTTGACAGGAAATAATTAAGAAATGTATCAAAATATTTATGTCAAATTATGGACAGAAATTAAAAGAAATCTTGAAAGGTGGAAAACAAAGCTTTCTTGGTTGTACAAGAATGGCAAAAAAGTGTAAGTAAATTTTTATGGAGCAGAAAGATCCTGGAGTTTAATTTAATTGACCAGACTGAACAAATAAAGATGAGGATGCAAAACTAAAGAAATAATCACAACACAGAAATGAGAAGAATTATGGAATAAATCTATAAAATTTACTTCCAAGTTATAACTTCTTATAGAACTTGAAGCAGCAAGAATGTTGAATATATGAAGTATATTTAATTAAAGTTCATCTTTCATTTAGAACATAATTTTTTGTTCTTTACCTTACTTGGGGAACAAGCTTTATCAGATTTTCGTTCCTCTAAAACTTTTCCTTTTTTCATACACACAAACTTAAGCTTATTGTTACAAGGTAGGATGTTCCATAGGCCAAACTACAAAGAAAAGGAAACTGATAATTTTAGCACTCTCAAAGACATAATCATCCAAATGAATTGTTTTTCAATTGTTCATGTACTTTTGCACTTACAAAAATACATAGAAAAAACTATTTCCCTACTAAAATTCTTGAAATATAACTCTGATATAATTCTCATAGAATTTTTAAAATAAGATAGCATAAAAGAGCCTCGGTGGCGCAGTGGTTAGAGTGCAGTACTGCAAACTACTTCTGCTGACAGCCAACTTCCTGAAATTTGGCAGATCAAATTCCACCAGGCTCAAGGTTGACTCAGCCTTCCATCCTTCTGAGGTGGGTAAAATGAGGACCTAGATTGTTGGGGGCAACAATAAACCACTGTAAACCACTGTAAACCACTTAGAGAAGGCACTATAAAGCACTATAAAGCAGTATATAAGTCTAAGTGCTATTGCTATTAATGTATAATTAATTATTAATTATTTCTTCTGTTACTCCTGTGAACAAGTTATAGAAAATCTCACCTCTTTTTCTGGACTGCACCAAATTTAAATTTGCAATAATGAATGTTAAGTTCTATTGAAATGAGAGGGGCTTGATTCTAAGTACACACGGCTAAGATGGCTAAACAGGAAAAAAAACCTGCAGCTTTTAAACACTTTTTATTCAGTCTCATAAAAGATCTTTGCATTTGAAATTTCTTTCAAAGAAGTAAATCATTTTGGTCAAATTCCAGTAAGTGGAGAGTTGCATCATCGCACTCGATTACACATAACCAAAAGATTATGTGAATGACCTCGCAGTCATCTTTCAGAACTCTGCAGCCTCCCTGTTTAATGAATTAATTAATTTTAATTATTTAGTTTTTCAGTGCAAAAGAAATATCAAAGAAATCTTTGATAAAATGAGTCATATACTTTGCCTTTTATGACGTTTACAAAACACTTTAGAGTCAAGTAATCATAAAACATGCCAAGAGATCCTTACCTTTCCAGAATAGGAGACACAGTTCGGAAGGCTTTTGAAGGAAACCCTTGGCTCATTCTGATCCCAGTATGTAAATATTACTTTGGAATCATCTGACCACTTAAAAAAGGCTGGAATCTCTTTATTAATTAATCCTATCCATATTTTGTCTTTTGTATCTACAATTAAAGCAGAAATTCAAGCAGTTCAAAAAATTTTGAGGGAAAAGTATTTAGGCACGGACAACCAGATCCACATGTATAGAGTTCAATTAGCTGCTTTGTTGTTTGTGCTTATTTCATAGGAATCTTCCCAGACTGACAATCTGCACCTGGACCAGATTAGGAAAGATTCAACACATAGGTAAGCATAAGGGGACAGACCTTGCCCTCTTATGCCTACCTATGGATTCCAAACTAATTCCCTGCTTGACTCCTCCCTCTGAATCAACCTCTCTGATAAAATAGAAACCATCTAATAAAAAATAGAACTTTTTCTATGGTCACTTCTCATTCATGTCATCATAATAATGGAATTAAAGAGGTTTGGCTAGCAGACAGATTTTTACCCAGAGTAATAGCATATACTGTTTTTGTTTTGTTGCTGTATTTGTCACACTGAATAGAATTCTTTATTGACCAAGTGTGATTGGACACACAAGGAATTTTGTCTTGGTGCAAATGCTTTCAGTGTACATAAAAGAAAAGATACATTCGTCAAGAGTCAAGAATCATCAGGTACAACACTTAATAATAATTATAGGGTACAATAAATACAAATAATCCTCACTTAACAACTGCCCTATTAGCAATTGTTCAAAGTTATGATTGCTCTGAAAACTTTGGTTCTTCACACTTGCATCCTTTGCAGTATCACTGCAATCACATAATACCGATTTGATTCACAGCTGGCTTCTGACAAGCGGAGTCAATGGAGAAGCCAGCCATAAAATTGCAAGTCAAAGTCATGTGACGACTGTGATTGATTTGCTTAATGACTGTGGTGGAAGTGAGACTCTAAGTCTATTGTGGTCATGGAACGTCTTGCTTAACAGCCATGTTGCTGGTTCCAATCATGGTCATTAAGCAACAACTATGTGTAAGTTAAGGAACATGTGGTTATAGATTTAGTAATACCAGAGATTTAGATTAAACTTTAATCAAATACTTTTTATTGTACATTCCAACCTCAAATTGAGAGTACTGTTTAAACAGAAAAACAGGAGCAACTCCTATCCATGTTTATTCCAACTTACCATTATGGAGTTTTGTAATGACTAATTCAACATCTGCTAAGGAATGTATACTGATCAGGCTACTATTGAGTTCATTGCATAACTGATAGGAATCATTCCACGAAGCAATGTTGTTCTTTAGCATGTAGCAAAATCCATTGTTCCCATACCAGCCAGATTCACACTGAGTCTCAACATTGTTCTGAATATCTAAAAAAAAAACCACACCAAAAGAACTTGAAAATAATTTGCTAAAAAATACAATAATTTTTAAAAGCAATGATACAGAACTGATACCATAGGAAAGGATCATAGCTCAGAGGGAACAAACTTTGGATGCAATAGATTTACAGTTCAAATTTTGGCATCTCTGATTTAAAAAAAAAAAGCAATCTGAGTTGTTGTCACAGTACACAATACTGAATCAGATGGACAAAAAGGCTCAGCTGGTAGAAGACAAAGTTAGCCTGCATGAATTGTCCCCCTTACAGCATTTGCTTTCAAGATATTTTTTTAAAAAATGATGCATAACAAATCCCATTAATGCCAAAATAGGTTTTATATTCTTGGTAACTTCTGCAACTGCCCCTACTCACGTTCAAGTCAGAAAAGAGACTGCAGGACCATATTTACATAGAGAACAAGTTTTATCCTTAAAATAAAATTTTCTGAGATCTTTTTGAATGGAAATTATAAAAATGCCCTGAAACCTTCTAAGTGTAATTAAAGAAAATTATTATTTTTCTGCAAAACTTTATTTTGCTACCTGAAAAAGAATTCAGTCCAAATTCTACTACACATTATTCTCTATTATCATATATGCTTGTGTTTGAAATATAGAAATAGAAGAAGCTGGAAGGGACCCTGGAGGTCTTCTAGTCCAGTCCCCTGCTCAAGCAGGAGAACCTATACTATTTCAGATAAGTGACTGTCTAGAATCTTCTTTAAAACATCCAGTGATGGAGCGCCCATAATTTCTGGAAGCAAGCTGTTCCATTGGTTTATTGTCCTCACTATTAGGAAGTCTCTCCTTAATTCCAGGTTGCTTCTCTCTTTGATCAGTTTCCAAGCATTGTTTCTTGTCCTACCCTCTGGGTGCTTTGGAGAATTATTTGACCCCCCTTTTCTTTGTGGCAATCCCTCAAATACTGGAATACTGCTATCGTGTCACCTCTAATTCTTCTTTTTTTTTTAGACTAACCAAACCCAAATACTACAGCCATTCTTCGTATGTTTTAGTCTCCAGGCCTTTGATCATCTTAGTTGTTCTTCTCTGAACTTTTTCTAAAGTCTCAAAATCTTTTTTTGTAGTATGGTGACCAAAATTGGTTGCAGTATTCCAGGTGTGGTCTTACTAGGGTTTTATAAAGTGGCACTAATACTTCACGTGATCTTGATCCTATGCCTGTTTATACAACCCAGAATTGTATTAGCTTTTTTGGCTGCTGCTGCACACTGCTGGCTCATATTCAAGTGATCATCCACTAAGACTCCAAGGTCCCTGTCACAGTTACTGTTTTTGAGCCAAGTTTCGCCTAATCTGTACTTATGCCTTTGATTTTTTCCTGTTCATACAGCATATTTGTTTATTTATAAAATTTACAGGCAAGCCATCTTACCTCAAGGTAACTTTTGGTGGCTTTAAGTATTTAAGTAAAAAATTAATGGCTGAACCTATGCTGAACTTGTAGTTTTAAACTGAGGAAAAAAATATACAAAATTTACAAACATTCTGAACTAGCTGTTACGCTTCAGAGTATAGCGTGAATCATGATAAAGGTTTAATTTAGTAGTCACTTTAAGTATGTTGTATGAAAGTATTTGGAAAGTCTGGAATGATTCTGAAGTTGCTATATTTGCTGTTATGTAAAGATTTGGCATTTTAGCTGCAAAAACCAGAACCAAATTAAATTCACAACACATTTCAGACTCACCTGGGAAATCCAGTTGACTGTCATTAACTTGTTTCTTGCAGACATAAGGAAGTGGAGTGTCACAGGGATAACTCTTCCAATCACCTGTGTCAGCATTCATAGCTGCACAATCATTTCCCTCTAGTGGAGATACATCCTGCATTTCTACAGAAGAGTAATGATTCGACTATTAGGCTAATGATACATCGTATCATGGATTAGAATAGGTATTGGAGTGCAAAGGATGAGATTAAAATCATAGAACTGGTATTCTTTTTATTAAAAAAAAATCAACCCAGTCAGTTCTATTGTTGATTTTACACTACATTCTAGACCAGGGGCATGTTCAGAACTGGGCTGTAGAAACGATGGGCGAGCATGCATGTGCAGCTCTACGTATGTGTGCAGCGGATGGGCGAGAGCACGTGTGCAGATCAATTTGTGCAAGAGGTGGGTGCCTGCCGCTTGTGCAAATAGAATTGGGTGTTTTCCCTCCCACCACTCGCGTGGAACCATCTCCTCTTCCCTCACTTCTTTTTTTAAGGAATAATTCATAGCACCTGAGCCACAGAACACCAAGGAGGACAGGTTTCCCCTGGAGTCAAGAAACGTAAGTTTCATTCTGAAAAAGAAGATGTATGCCATGGTGGTGGGTGAGTCTCTGCAGAGAGGAACTGAGATGGCTGTGTGTAGAGCTGATATGACATACTTTATGGGAAGTAGGTTCTCCTCCAGTGCCTATATTCACTGTCTGCCTACTCTGGTTTCAGTATTCCAAATCATGGTTTGATTTGCCAATGCAAACTAAACAAAAAAAAAGAATCAAGAGCAACCCTGGCCCCAGAAAACATAGTTACTTGTTACATCCCAAATCTAACGGTAGAAGCCTGTTGCTTATTTGTTTGCTATGAGTTACATAATAGCACTTGGACTTAGATACTGCTTCATAGTGCTTTTACAGCCCTAGGCAGTTCACAGAGTAGCATATTGCCCCCAACCACCTGGGCCCTCATTTTACTGATCTCGGAAGGTTGGAAGGTTGAGTCAACCTTGAGCTGGTGGGAATTGAACTGATGGCAGTGAGCAGTGAGTTAGCCTGCAATTCTGCATTCTAACCAGTGTGCCACCATGGCTCATAGTAACCTCTTATTCCAAGTGGGAGGAATCAAATAATGAGGTTACTGGAGTACAGAATGTTAAATGGCTTTATATATACATGATGGTGGGAAGGGATAAAAAACACTAGATGGACAGATATGAAAGATAAACGTCTAGATAAACAGAGGCCCAATGTCTATGCCAGGATATCCAAGTTCTACACCCAAGGACAATGTGAACTAAAGATACGAGTGAGAAGTTTTGCTATCACTTATTTCTTCTTCTGTATCAGCTCCATCTTTTTCTGCAACTTGTTACAGTTCTCTTTCCTGTTTTGAAGTCCATCAAGTGTGAATTAACAGAGAAGACAGCACAAGAGGAAAAAAGCAATTACCTGAATTCCAGTTCACGAAGTTCAATGGATTATGATCTGACCAATGCCAGCCTCCAGAAACGTCCAACTGATTTAATCCAATCCAAAATATTTCTGCAATACCATCTTTAGCTAGAGAGATGATAATAGAACAGAACATTTTCAAGCTAATCAGTTCATAGTTGGGATTTACCTACTACAGTAAAACCAAACCAAACAAATCTTTTTGTGTCTGAGCTCATCGGCAGTATTTTGGTACTCAACTGCATATATATTCATTGTCTTGTGTATGGTATGTAGAATGTGTTTGCACAAACATGTGAATGTATTGGTTTCTATGAAAAAAACAAGTGATAAAAAATGCCATTCTTTTTTTTAATATCTCCATACTGTTTTGAATGTAAAACTAAGATAAAATACAGCTCATTTGTTTTTGGCTTAGAATGGATGCCTAAAATTTCAAGTAACTTGCTTAACAAACTAATGCTAACATAATCCTGGTTTAATGTTATATGGCATGCAACCAATGTTAATTTTAATTTTATTTAAATATAATCAGTACCATGTACTTCTCCAGTGTGGTCTGAGTGGGGATTAACAGCCAGTGGAAATAACAGAACTATAATGGTTCAGATACTACATCTTGAAGACTTATTTTAAATGACATTTATTTCTTAGGTTGTATTATTTTTTCAGAGAAAGAAAAGGGAAAGATCAAGGAATTAGAAGCTACAGATTATGAAGAGGAAATTTTGCAGAGACCAGGGAGAAGGGAGATATAATAATATTCTTCAAATACCTCCAAGGCTATAATACAGTACAAGGTTATGATCTGCTGTTTACCATTCCAGAGTGCAGAACATGGTATAATGGATTTAAGTTACAAGAAGACACATTCTAGAGGAATGTTAAGAAAAAAAATCTAATTATGGAAGCAGTTTAGTGGAGATATGATGGGCTTTGCTTCAGCAAATAGGTTCAAGCAGGGGTTGGACAGCCATTTGTCTAGAATGCTTTAATTATGATTCATGGACTGACCACAGCTGGACTCAAATCTTAAATGGCCTCTTCCAACTCTGCATTTTGTAGATTTAATACCTACTCAACCTTTGCACTGCTGTTATTCTTCGCAAATTGTAGCTTACCTAAATATCCTTTCTAGATAATGAAATATGTGGGGTGGGGCAAGAAATGGTTCAACATGCTGCTTTTAAATGTGTATTAAATGTGTGCCTGTTTACTCTCTTGCAATCCCTTCCTCTTCCATCTGCCTTCTCTGCAAGGGAGGGGGGAAGAAAAAAAACAGGTCAGGCACAGGACAATGCATACTGACTAATGGTGATTATGTGGCTTAGGGACACTGCAAAGGTCATAAATGCAGAGAGTGGTCATAAAGTTTTTTTCAGTATTGTTGTAATTTTGAATGGTTGCTGAATTAGGCAGTCCATTAACAAGCCTACCTGCATTAGTATTATTTTGATTGCATACTGCCTGCCTTCCAATGACTAGGCTTATTGTTAATATTATGAATTCAGCTAAATGTTTTTAAAATCATCACTCAAATATCAAATTTGGAAACTAAGAAAAATATTCTGTCCTGCAAGCCATGAAATCTGGTAGCCTGATTCAATCTTGAAATCAATCCACTTATTTTTCATTTGGTTTCCTCTAGAAGTCAGTATAAAGTTGTAGATAAATAATTTACTGACCATATCAAAATATAAAATGAAAATAAAATACAGGAAATAATTCCAGGGTAAAATAGATAAAGGAGAAATACAGTAATGAAATACAGATAACAGATAATCAAAGTTGGCATATGTGGTAAGTAGAATGAAACAACATTCAGATAAATATATCATTTTTACATGATATACCCCCCATCTGTTCAATGTAACAGGTTCTAATTGCCTTGAAAATAAACTTAGCATAGCCTATAAACTGTTCTGCTCATAATATATATATTAGAGCCCAGGAGGGAAATAGGGCAACCAGCGATTCAGGTTGTAGTGGCTTTTTCTTTCAAGTGGGATATTAAATATCTAAGCCTAAGAGGGGCATAGAGTTGACACTGAATGATCAATATCTTTGATATCTGGGGCACCTTATATACATGTCCTCTTGTGATATGGCAAGTGGCAGAAGCCATTCTTGGCCATGGAATGCAACAACTCAAAAGTTACTCTAGAACAGGCTTCTTGAAAATTGGGTCAAACTCCCTTGATGAATATTTTTCAAACTGAAAAATAGTTTTGTTTTTAGCCAACCAACTTAAACATCTATTTGCTGCCAGCAATTCTGTATCAGTTTGAGCGCTGATATCTAGGACTTCCTGTTAAAAAATTTCCCTTACCTAGGAGACAGTTGAGAGTAAATACTGGGTAGAAAACCCAGCTGTGAAATAATTTTGGTAAATTGGCTTGTACAGGAAATGGACTGAACCATACTTATCTATTTTGCCAAACATATTTTGGATAGCCTATCAGGGTCCACACTGAATGGATCCTTAGTCAATATGTGATAACTTTAATTATTAATAGGCTACATATGGAGTCTACACCTATTTCTGTTCTGACTGCAGGAGCTGACACCTTATCAGTTCCCAGTATACTTCTTTTAAAATGTGTCTGAACTTGTTCAAGTGAAATAGCTTTTGTAAGGTCCCACAAGTCAGCTTTGGGACCATTTTTGTTCTGAATAAGTAAGGTTGAAGAACTTTGGGGGTGTTGCAGTGGCCACAACTTTGAAATGGATCACAATTTTTTTTTGGGGGGGGGGGGGGGGGGGGGGAGAGGAGGGTCTGTTGTAACTTCAAGTGGCTGCTAAGTGATCAGTTGTTAAGTAAGAAGTACCTCTAACTCAGTCCAAGGCCACCCTTGGTTAGTAGCTCACCAAGATTTGGACTGCATCTTACTTCCTCTTGTCTGTCAACCTCTATTTTATTTCTGTCACTTATATTTTCTGTATGGTATGTTTTATGGGGAGGAAGAGGGAGTAAGGAAGAAACACCCACAAGGACTCTTTGTTCTCTTCCACATCCATATCCCATGTTGAAATAGGGCATGAAGCAGCAGTTTCTCAAAATAGTTATTATTTTCATGGGCACTTGAGGTGATCAGTTCTTCTGGAGGTTTAACAGCTTTGCAGTGTTGCTAATTCCCTCAAATCACCAAGGTCTTTTTACAATACCCATATGATCAGTATTTGACAGAGTATTGAAAGAGTTAATCAAATTTATCTCTAAGGCTTCTTCAGAAAACTGACTTGATATGAGAGGCACGGATTATACAGATTATTTATTCAGACTCTCTCTTCTCAAGGACTGTGATAAAATGACCTCAGAGTTACCAACTTTTATGCTATAATTAAACTTTAAAGTAGAAGCTCTCTTATTGCTGAGTTATTTAATGGGCTAACTCCCTCAGTGTGAAGCACATATAATGGGAAGATCTCAAATCTGCTTAAAAAAAAAGTTTTATTTTGAGCAACATGCTGGCAACAGTGGGGTGTCTGAATGAAAGCATTCAATATAGACTCTCGTGGATAGGAGCCATTCAACTTTTGCAAATCAACCAACTGCTTTTCACAATGTAGAAGCTGACTGCACGGTCCTCTGGATATAGACTTAGATCTCTTAGCTTACTCCTCACTCTCCTTTTAGGTTCCAAATTAGGATCCACCTTTCTGGCACTATTATCTGCTTTTAAGTGGCAATTGTCTCTGCATGAGGCTTTTTTAACTGAATCAGCAACATCTATCTTGAAATCAATCCACTTACTTCTCATTAGCCACTGACAGCTTTCCTCTTGAATGCAATATAAAGTTGTACTTACCTCTGATATAATTTAACTCCGATGCACTTGTGATGCTGACCAAATCACTCCCTTGCTTCTTACATGAGAGGTATGCTGCTTTCCAAGAAAGGGCAGCCTGTGTGTTTAACTGGTAACAATTTCCAGAATCTTTAAACTGTTCCCATGTATTCTGACAGCCATCCTCTGTTGAAGACAAGTATTCATATCTGAGATCTACAGGTACCATAACCATAATCTAGAACTCGTGAACATGTTGCCTTATCAACTTAATCTAAACATGAGAAATACACACACACACACACACACACACCTTCATCTCCAATACTGGCATTCAATTTACATTCTCTGTATCATCCAGACTGGGATCTAGATATAGTCTTCCAACTCCCGTTTCTCCTTGTTCTGTCTGCAACATGTTTGTAGGACACATGAGAAAAACCAGGATCCACTAAAACTGTTGAGGACCAATATTCACAAGGAAGAAGCGTAGATCAATTAGGTTATAGGTTTCAGATGAAACTACATTTTTGAACATGTTTTTATAACACAAACTGGAGCCTCAGGCAAAAAAATTTAATACTTTAATTTATATAATGATGATTGCTTATAACAATACTGTGTAATCAATAGAAAGCTATTATGTGAAGCTCTGTTCATCCTTTTTCTCAAGAAATACCAAAATATATAGTATGCATTAATACAACATTAATTTTTTAGGATACTATTTTAGGAAAGCTACTTGCCTCTTTTTAAGCAGAAGCCCCATTGTTCATCTTGATTGAAGTAAGTGGTTATGGAACACCATTTACCTCCTGGATATTTGTAAATGCAATCATGATACCATGTATTATTATGTAGGAAAGGAAATTCACAAGGTTTTCCATAGGCATTCCCATCCCTGGTATAACTTTCTGCATAAAAGAAACCAAAAACAGATTTAACATTTAAAAAAGCCTGGAAATGAGTGTATTTGTTGTAAAATAAAATAAAATAAAATAAACATTTTTTTTAAATGTTATTTTAAGACATGTATGACTGTAGGAAGAATCATGTATGCACAGATCTTAAGATACATTAGGTAGAGCCAACAATACATGGAGCCAGAAGTCTTCAATAGTTAAAAAAAAAAACTAGTATCAAAATCAGAAGGTAATGATCTGACCCTATGCAACTTCAGGAACAATACAAATGGCCAAAGAAGGAATGAGTCTTCAGCAAAAAGTAGTGGGACATGCTTCAGCATGTCTGTATCTTCTTTTCTATATCTTCTTTGCTCAAAGTAATATTCAAAGTAATATAAGTAATAAGTAAAAACATGTAGCCACATTTGTTATCCATGCAGAAAATGAAAAAAAAATCTTTCCAAGGAAAAAAATGATTTCAAAATCATTGCACTGGAGAGAGCAACCTGAGTCTCTTCAGATGCTAGTAAACTACAGTTTCCAGCAGCTGGAGCGAATTCAGCTACATCTTAATTGATTTGTGTATTATGTTCTTTCTTGTGTTCACTGCCTAGAGTTCCACTGACAGCTGGACAACTGTATAAATCTGAACACTAGATAATAGATAACTTCCGGAGTACTGGATAGCTAGGTAACACTATCACTAGATAGCCAGATAAACTTTGGAGGATCTTAAGTTTCCTTTAAGTTTCAGCTTTTAGGGTTGACATGAAACAACCAGGTTGGCTAATGAAATGATATCATAATTTTCAGCAAAATAACTTTCAATGGATGCAGTCAAAATAAAACTGATGGTTTCAAGATTTGTTTGGCTATCATTGCTGGCTTTCTAACAGAAGAAGGGCATTATTCAGAATTATTAAATACAAAATATAGGAGATATATGACAATCCAAAATTATGTGTGGGGTAATTTTAATTGTCCTGATTCTTTTGCTATTACTGTTGTGAATATTGAGCAGATACAGGGCAAATTTTCTGACTCCATGGGCTGCACATGATACTGATGAAAGCTGCCTTTGTTGGGTTGGAAAACAGGTGTCTCTTCATACCAGCCATGAAAGACTGTACAATCGTCTCATGTGAAGTGAAAGAACAAACCAAATCCCTGAGAAATTAAAGACTGTCCTGTGATAATCCGACCAGATTATTAACTTGGTTTTGTTAACAGCAAAGCCCAATCCACAAAGCCACAATACCACAGCTAGATATACCGCAGCACATTTAATAAACAAAAATAAAATAAATTACTCCATTGCCCTGCTGAAGAAGAAATTGGGGCTGGTTTTGAAAGCTCATAAAGGAACCAGGGAAAAACACTGAACTAAATAATTGTACTAACAGGACTTCAGCCACTGTAGATAAAAATAGCCTGAACTGGCTGAAGGTTAGGTTAGATCAGGAGAAATCTGGTGACTTTGTTGTTATAATTATAATTAATTTGTACAGCTGTTTAAATCTATTTAGATCTGTTAAACAGAAAGTAAAAAAAACAAGTCAGTTCCTGCCCATGAGCTTATAATTTCATAAACTTTATAATAAAAGATCTACAGGGTGGGGTGGAAGAAAGGAAAAAGAGAAAAACAAATACGTTCATTCATAGTTATATAAACACAAATACGGCTAGAAACAACTGTGTGATACAGTGATACAGACTTCGTCAACCAAGTAGCTCCAGAGAACAAGGCAGAAATACAAAAGATGCCTTGAGGTAATTTCCATTTGTTTGTTTAGACATGCTCACTGTTTTCTACAGCGAGAAGATAGAGTGGTTTTGTACTCTAGAAACTAGTGGAGCTGCATGTTTTCTGTGCACTAACCATAGAAAAAGGATAGCTAAAAATAAGTTTGTAGGACTTCCCCAGAGTTCCTTCAACTTAAAAATAATTTTGTTGGCATTCAAATTAGAGAAAACAAGACCTCTAATTTCATTATGGTTAATCCCCCATTTCTTAAAAACGATTAAGTTCAAAACTTTCTTCTCTGCAAAGGAGAAAAAAGGAAGTTCAGAAACTTCCACTTCCACTTTGGATTAACCCTGGTCTCTTACATCACTATTTTACCCGGTTGGTAAAAAAAAGAACCTGGTCTTAGTGCTCCTCCAAATGCATTCCAAAATACATTCAGGCATCCTCCAAATTAACATTCTATTAGATACCCCAAGTATGGATTTCAACTTCCGAAATTCTAAACCAGTATAGTCCTAGCATAGCTGAGAATGCTGCCACCTATACCTGGAAACAATGTATGTTAGAATATGGACAGGAAGGTCTGAATTCCAGTTCATCATGTGAGAGTATTAATTAAGATTACTGGTGCTTAATCATCACTTGATGCAACACTCAACTGGGGATGCTCCCTTTCTTTTGAACTCCTTAGAACAGGAGTCTCTAACCTTGGCCACTTTAAGACTTGTGGACTTCAACTCAGCAAAGCTGGCTGAGGAACTCTGCGAGTTGAAGTCCACAAGTCTTAAAGCGGCCAAGAATGGAGACCCCTGCCTTAGAAGTCAGCATTTAGACATATTCTGCCTGAAACCCTTCTTTCCCTTTCTATAAATCAAAGAAAATACGTACCACTATATGGAAATTTACAAATCGTATCGCTGGAATTGCTTCTTCTCCAAGCATCAGAAGAGTTTAGGCTTGCGGTGAGGATTCCATTCTTTAATGCTAGTTTATTCTGAGATGTGGAGAGGATGGAATCACCAACACAGCGCCACCACAGATTGAGCTCCGAGTCACAAGCAAACATTTTTAAGGTACTTGTAGACTTTACAGTCTCTAGTCCAAGGCATTTTTGGGATCCCAAATTAAAAAGGCGATGTTGAGAGACCCAGGTCCATAAGCTCTCGTCTGTCTCCTCACAATTTCCTAATATTAGGTGCTGGCTTTTAACTTGGATGCACTTATTAGAATTTTCATGCCGGATGGTGAAAAGATTGTTATCTGCATGGAGAAAAGAATATATTTTAATGTTTTTTCTGTTCTAACTTTCAGTAGAAACAAAGATAATACTGAAAGATTATGTAGCAACACCGGAATGCACTGTCAACATTCAGTTCCATAACAGAACATCTTAATAATTATTGAAAATACCTTTATCTATTTATATACTTATAAACAGCATTCTCTCAGCAGCAACAACATTACGTAGTTTTTGAAAGATTAAAAAAGCAACATGATCTCAGAAGCAAATAAAGCAATATTTAAAGATAGACAACATCAATTTTAGTATTACTCAGTGTGCTCAATGTTTAGAAGGCCTGGAATAACAACAGCATTATCATCATTATTAACAAAAAAGAGATTATAAGAGAAGTGTTAGCATCTCTGTGAAAGGTGTTTCTTAAATGGGATAACACCTTTTCCCTTGCAAAAATTCAGATGATCAATAGATGGCAGTAAAGAGGTATCAAACGTTTTAGCTGTTTGCCCACTAGAGCAGGGGTCTCCAACCTTGGCAACTTTGAGACTTGTGGACTTCAACTCCCAGAATTCCTCAGCCAGCAAAGCTGTGTATTTGAAGGCTAAAACTGGTATAATATTGTGTACTATCTACCCAAACATCTGTTGAAAGGAGCATTCAGAGGAGGCCTGTAAATATGACAAGATTTTTCTAATAGCTTAGTGGAAAATTGTTTTCAAAACCAAAAAATGGAGTGGAAGCTAGTAAAGATGATAAAATAAAGGTAAACAGGTGGTCCTCATTTAACAACCCCTCATTCAATTGACTTTTCAAATTCATAATTTTGCTGAACGAGTAGTCACACACAATCTAGACAATCATCTTGCAATTATGACTTTGCAGTATCCTGTAGTCATGTGAACTCCATTTGTGACTTTCTTTGCTGGCTTCCAACAAGTGAAGGGGAAAGCCAGCAGGAGATCAAAAATGACAACCATGTGATGCCCTCAGTGATTCGCTTAACAATAGCATCTAGAAATCCTGCCCCAAACTGCTGTCATTATATGAAGACTACCTGTAATATGTTCAGCTATGTTCTGGAGTTCTTTGGAAAACTTTATCAGAAGAAGCTCCATGTATAAAATATATTGCATAATCCAAACAGAGCTCAGATAACTATGTTTAGTGCATCAAGTAAAATAAAGGGATTCAGAATCGGAGGCCCCTTGATGCTGTTAGATAAATACGACTCCCCAGTCGATTAAAGGATGTGTGCATTTGATTTTCTTCACAGTAAGGCAATGAAGAACTGGTGAACTTTTCTAGTTAATGCCCAATTTTCTAGTACAACCTTTTATTGCATTCCCAGTGTTGTTTAGATTAAACCACAGTTTATTAGCCTTTATCCAATCTTTATGGGTATAATCCTAAATATTTACAGTATAACCCATTAATTAGAAGCACGTTCCATTGAACCAACAGGTATTATTGCTATGTAAATGTATCCTCCATAGAAATATAAGATTTATTATACATCTGATGAAACTTAATTAATCAATATAATTTATTAAAGAAATAATGGAATAAAATTATCTGTAAAATGAATTAAATTTCTGGTTTGAAATGATGTTTTATCTTTATATATTTATGTGCTAATGTTTTATTTATTTTAAAATTAGAACATAATTTTAAAAATGAATTCTTTTTAGTTCATGAAAACCAGTAAGTTGTTAATTCTCTAAACCAGTTTTCTACAGCTTAAACCAATTAAAGCCTATTTGCTGGTATAGAAAGACCACTACGGTCTAGTTTGATTACTGAATCTCACATCAAAGTTCTGATGAGAAACAATTTTAGTTGCTATATGCATTTAACTTAGACTAAAATTATATTTTTGGTGGAGAAAATAACCTAAGATGGCACACTAAGACCACTGAATTGTGCAGAAATTGTACAATTGCAGTGCTGTGCTAAGATGCTGAGCTTGTTGATCAGAAAGGTTGTCAGTTCGGAGGTTCGAATCCCTAGAAGCGTGTAACAGAATGAGCTCCTGTTATTTGTCCCAGCTTCTGCAACCTAGCAGTTTGAAAGCATATAAAAATGCAAGTAAAAAAATAGGGACCACTTTGGTGGGAAGGTAACAGCGTTCCATCATGCCGGCCACATGACCACGAAGACGTCTTCGGACAGCACTGTCTCTTTGGCTTTGTAATGGAGATGAACACCGCCCCCTAGACCCAGAAACAACTAGCACGTATGTGCGAGGGGAACCTTTACCTTTTAGCATAGGTTTTCCTCTATAATAGTTATTACTCAGTTAAAATTTATTTTGTAGTGTACAAAATGTTTCTGCTTTATATTCTCTAACGATTAAATTAATAATAGATTTCTAAAAGTCACAGCAGTGAATTAAGTACCCCGCAAACGGAATGCCCGCAGAACTTTTATTTGAAACCACCTAAAATATTATGCTAATCTGAAATTTGAAACATTTATTTGCAATTTACTAGCCTGAATGTATGCAAAGCTGCTATCTAAAGTATGTTTATGTACCTGCAGCCTGCTTGGGCATTTCCCTGGAGTCATAGCTCAAGCAATCTGGAAAGAAAACTATTGTGCTATGTTCAATGTATTTAACTGAAATGCACTTTGCAAATTCTGCTTGATTTTGAAAATATGCCCCACGCATGCGGAAGATTGTTGAACACTCTGATGAATAAATAAAGGTATTCCCTCAACAATAATCCTGGGGAGGAGGGTTAATAGTGATTCATCTAATGGTCATATTTATTGGCACAATGTTCATGTTTTTAATCAGCAATGCAGTATCTTGGTAATATGTTTTGATTTATTATTTCATGCTTTATCAACTTTTTATTATAGCTGAACTGAGCCACAATGCTTTAATGTAACAAAAACCTTCTGGGATAAATTCCTCTTAATATATGCATTTCTAAAATAGGCAAAAGTTGATTAAAATCTTATCCCTGACATTACATACAACATAGTTGCTTGCTTTATTAACAGTAAAGAAAAATGTTAAATATTTAAACAAGATAAAATGCCCCTCATATGAATTACAATTTTTGAGTTTAGCAAACACATCCTGAAAGTGTTATTGAAAACCAACAATAAAATGACACCACAAGGTTTACAGGTAGTTCTCAACTTACAACCACAATTGAGTCCAAAATTTATGTTGCTAAGTGAGAAATTTGTTAAATGAGTTTTGCCCCATTTTACAACTTTTCTTGCCACATTTGTTAAGTGAATCTGGTTTTCCCATTGACTTTGCTTGTCAGAAGATTGCAAAAGGTGATTGATTACATGAATGTGATTGGGAATCTGAAACCGTCATAAATGTGAATCAGATGTCAAGCATTTGAATGTAAATCACGTGACCATAGGAATGCTTCAACCGTCGTAATTGTGAAAAATTGTTATGTCATTTTTTTCAGTGCTGGTTGTAACTTTGAACTGTCACTAAATGACTGTTGGAAGTTGAGGATTACCTGCATTTTCACATCATTTTCTTTGGCGTACAATAATTTATTTAAATTTATTACTCCCTGAAACTCAACTCCCAAGATAAGTCCACTTCTACTAGTATTCACCCTCACATTCTAGACACAACAGTCAGTAAATCCCAAGCTCTCTGGGATAACTCTGTTGATGTGGTACGTATTGCTTATTGCTACAAAGCTGATTGGCACTTCCAGAGGTCCTACAGCTACCATTGACTACAAGAAGGCAGTCTTCCAGCTGATGACATGGAACAAGATGTAAGCACTGGGCATCATGCATGGACCTGACCCAAGCTGCAGTGAAGCCAGGCCTGGGATATAAAGCACACAAGCCCAATGGCAAGGACTAACAACCCAGTCCAGGACTAGGAGATGGAGGGCTCCTCCACCGTCTGAGCAAGATATCCCTCCTTCAACCATCTGCAACATTCTAAAAACCACCAAATAACGATGGCCACTTTGTTAACACAACCAGCCTTGGTACCATGTGTGTATGTGTGGGAGTACACTTGTCACTTGCTCCCCTTAGCACCTACCCCCATACAGACACCCTATTCCAAGTCAAATGTGGAAAAACTCGCTGCTTTACAACAATTGGTTCAAGAACAATTGGCTGCTGGTCATATAGAACCTTCTACTAGTCCTTGGAATACTCCTGTTTTTGTTATAAAAAAGAAAAATGGGAAATGGCGTTTCCTTCATGATTTAAGAGAAATTAATAAATGTATCCAACCCATGGGTCCTTTACAATGTGGTCTACCAAATCCTAACTTAATTCCTAATTTTTATAAATTATTGGTAGTTGATCTTAAAGACTGCTTTTTTACTATACCTTTGCAGCCTCAAGACAAAGAAAAATTTGCATTTACTGTCCCAGTTTTTAATAATAGCATGCCCACAAAACGATATCATTGGCGAGTGTTGCCTCAGGGAATGCTTAATTCCCCTACACTTTGTCAATATTTCGTGGATAATGCCCTTCAACCTTTTCGGATTAAATTTCCTTCCTATTTAGTCTATCATTATATGGATGATATATTGATAGCAGCCCCGGATTTTGATGAATCTAAGTTGTTAAAAGAGTTAACGGATACTGTGGCACAACAGGGATTGTATATAGCCTCAGACAAAATTCAAAATGTAGAACCTTATGCCTACTTAGGACATAGAATGTTGCACAATTCCTCCATTCCAATTCTTCCTGAATTACAAGTACAGAAATCATATACATTAGTACAATGGCAAAAATTACTTGGCATTATTAATTGGGCACGCCCATTCTTCTACATTACAACTGGTGATATGTTGCCCTTATTTCAGTCTTTGAAGGGAGCACAATCACCAGGAGATCTAGTTGTATTAACTGATCTTCAAAGAACATGCCTTCAAGAAATATTGAATAAGTTTAAGCATCGATATGTGGACAGGATAACATCCTTAACAATAGGACTTTGCTTAGCTATTCTTCCCACTACACCCTTACCCATGGGATGTCTTTATTCTAATGCGTCCCCGCA